CCAGAGGATGGAAGGGGGACGCGGGACACTGCCAGAGGATGGAAGGGGGACGCGGGACACTGCCAGAGGATGGAAGGGGGACGTGGGGCTCTCGCCTTCGCATAAACAGAAGATGGGCCCACAGCTCCATGTGGCAACATCCATCTCCATGACCACAGAATCATCTTCTCTTCAGCTACACACATTCACCCCACCTGCCTAAAACTGTATCTTACTGTGTCCAGATGCCACACACAGGAGTTCCAGGGTGGCTTGCCCCCCTGCCAGCATCTACTCACCTGCATGAGTCGCTCCAACTGGAAAAACTTGCAGTGAAGGTCTTCGAAGTTCTGCTTGAAGAGCTCCCTGAGTCCGTAGTCAAACATGATCTTCACCAGCACGCTGAAGGCTTGTTCCTCAGGCATCTGGGTGAAACAGCAACACGGACAGGAGCTGCCAGGTCTGTCGGACGCAAAGCCCGCTCCCACCCCCACCCCACACCGTGGTGAGAGCAGGGGGGGGGGGCACGGCGACCGATTCCAGCCCACGGTATGAGCCAGGGGTCAGCTTCCCTGATGGTTGCCATTCTGATTAAACCCGAACCCTAAGCTAAGGGGGACCTACACAGCCTGCCTTGTTAGCATGTGTAATGATAATCATGTGCTGCTTTTCTCTATTAAAAGAATCATAAATATGAATCTTACGTAAGAATCATCACACTGTCTCCCATGATACAACATGTGCCTGTATGTTACACTGGGTCACAGCGCACAGCGATGCAGATCAGCTCTGAGGGAAAAGCAGTAAACAGATTGTCCACTAGGTGCCAGTGTTGCTCCTGAGATTGGCACCAGGAGACATGCCTCTCACAGGCATGACATCACTCCGCATGAGAGCCCGTCGTGTGCCGGGGAGAAGCGGAGGACTCACGTGTAGCAGCAGCACGGCGGCGAGGAAGGACTGTCCCTGGCAGTAGCCGATCTCCTCGTCGTACACGGAGTACGCCTGTGGGAGAGAAGCCAGCACAGCCTGACATGGGAGCGGCCAAACCAGGGCTAACCAGGTTGGGGGGGGGGGGTAGGCTTCTAAGTGGGGGCTTAAGCCCAGTTTGTTACAGGGTCCAAGTGTGCAGAGCGCAATCTCCCTGCTGCCTTTCAGTACAAATATCAGCAAGGCTTTGAGCACTATGCAGGCCGGACTTGCAGATACGTGTGGCCTGCAGTTCGGGCATGGAAACGGGCCTGCTTAGGTTTGTTTGCACGTCCCACATGTCCAAAATTCATTCCGGCTTTGTCCCTGCATCAACTGCTCAAGGAGAAAAGCTCAGAGAGCCCAGAGGAAAACGCTGAACAACCGGCGTGCGAAAATGAGGGCAGTGCACGTATAAACGTGAGCTTACAGAATACAGACTCTCCTCACACCTTGTCATCTGCATACACTAATTCAGATTCAACATATTCAAATGGTTCAGCATTATATGAATTACAGCACATTCAACCACTGCATGCTGTTCCTTTTAAAATCGCTTTTAATGATTTTAGCCGTAACATAAAAAAATTTACATCAGAGGGAGTAGAATGTCCACGTCAGGTTCCCATTAACAGGCATCCTGCAGCAGAACCCTGGCCGCAGCACAAAGGGGGCGTGATAAGGAGGGGGCGTGGCACAGAGGGGGCGTGGCATAGCAGAACCCATCCAAATGACACCTTACTTAACTGACACAAGCGGCTGATGCCACTTTCCATTAAAATGTTTGCTAAAACCACCAGTGTTCCAAACTGCAGACTGAACCTATTGACCAACGAGCAATGAGGCTTTCATCTCTGTTTCTGTGTTTACAGCCCGGAATGAGAAATGGCGGGTTCCCGGTTCCTCTGAAATATGTCCGACATCCTCAATCAACGTGCCACTTCACGGATTTTTACAGGAAACACACCCATTATAATGAATCCTACTTTATAGTGAAGTAACGAGCGCTAAATGAGAAAGCGATTCGGCCCAGATAGACTGGATAATAAATCAAGGCGTGGTGTTCGGCACGCGGTCGATACAGACATTTTCCCCTGCAGGGGGACCTGCTTGGAGTCTGGAATGACACATGAATTATTAAAGGGAACCCGTGCGTTTTTGCCCCCAAAAAGCCGTCGATACTTACGACGCCATAACAACTGTGCATAAATATCTGATTACATGGTAGCACTCTTTGGTGTGTTTAAATTCGATATGTATTCAAATCGCGGAAAAGCGTACAATTACATGTGACATATTGGCCTCCTTCAAACCAACATCCTGCTCCACACAACATCTTTATTCTACTTCGTGCTTAAAGTGTATATGTACAAATACTTTTTTATAACATGCAAGTAAAATGCTCTCTGGTAAGACCTGTGAAAAGTGCCCGTTTTTCTTTGGACAAGATATAACTAATCTCTGTAACTGGGACGGACCATCTTAACCCCAATGCATAAAGACATCCTCACTTACGGTGGGTTAGAGTAAAACGGCCCAACATATGTCGTTATTTACAGCTGGGTAGTAAGTCGTCTCACCTTGCAGATCTTGTAGAGCGAGTCCTGGCCGTCGCCTCCCGTGTCTTTGAAGTAGTCGTGTGCGGGGAACGTGCGGTTGATGTCCCTGGTGATGGCGCTATCCTGCGGGGATTCCTGAACAGGTCGTTGGGAGACACGAGAGTCGTTAGGGCCCGTCCCACCGCTGAAGTTGGGGGCTTCAGACTGGCCTCTGAATGTTTATATATAAGATTAGCAAGTACTGTGAGGCAGTGAATTATTGTTTGGGGAAAAAAAGGGTTTAATGTTTTTATAAGCTGAAAGCAAACAAATCAAAAGGGATTTGTTTAGAGAGTTTATTCAGAAAACGAACCAAAACTGTAGTAAAATTATACAAATATGAGCCAGGCTTGTCCTAACCGCTGGCAAAGAACCAGGAAATGTGCTCCGGTGTGATAACAGCATTAATACAATGTGCTCCAGCATTACAGCACATTCAACCACTACATTTTTGGTTTAACTCCCAGCTACACTATTCCCAGGGGGGAAACAGCTATGCATGTTTTTTTGCCCCCCACTTAAACATATACGACTACAAAGTCCATGAGCGCGTTCCACTAACTAACCTGTGGATGTCTGTCTGTCTTTATTTTATTTTTTAGTGTTTGCCAGGCCTGAAAAAACTATTAAGCAGTGAGTGGGAATGAACAGTAAGTGCCCTGGACACTCCCCCAGAGCCGCATCAGCAGGCAGCAGCAAACCTGTAGAGGGCTCCGGGCTGCACTGGGCCCAGAGCGCCGCAGCCTGAGGTCTGCTGGCTTAAATTAATGCAGAAAGGCAGCCTGGAGCCCTGCTGCTGCCCAGGTAGCAGAGGGTGAGGCAGCAGAACCCTGCCACACACAGCCGCACGCAGACAGCCGCACGCAGACAGCCGCACGCAGTCAGACGCACCACAGCCACACACAGCTGCATGCAGACAGCCGCACGCAGTCAGACGCACCACAGCCACAGACAGCCGCATCACAGCCACATGCAGTCAGACGCACCACAGCCACAGACAGCCGCATCACAGCCACATGCAGTCAGACGCACCACAGCCACAGACAGCCGCACGCAGACAGCTGCACGCAGACAGCCACACGCAGACAGCCAGAGGCAGCTGCACGCAAACAGCCACACACAGACAGCCGCACGCAGACAGCCGCACGCAGACAGCCGCACGTAGACAGCCACACGCACACAGCCACACGCAAACAGCCGCATCACAGCCACAGACAGCTGCATAGACAGCTACACCGGCACCTGTCTAATCTTGGCAGATGCTGTTTATCACTATGGCTTTTTTTTCAGTAATATGTTCCCGGAGGAAACAGATAACATAATATTATTTATGTAATTAACTACAAACTAAGTGGTAGTTACATAGTGATTTCATGTTAATTCATCATTAATGAATCGTGACGTCTTATCTCAAGAAGTTACTGTATTTGTTACTATATCTCTTAATTCTGTAAACATTTGTGAACTACTGAAGGAACAAGTCATGAATAACATGAATAACACCTGTAAAATACTGATCTCATGCTTGTTCATTAATGAATCGTGATGCATATCTTGAGATTTCTTCATGATTTGTGCTTCAGTAGTAGGATTTGTGCCCCCTCAAGTGAAGTTACCACTTTTTCCTTTTCAATACATTTAACTGAAGTCATAAGCATCTGCAGGATGGGCTCAGTGCTGCCACCCCATCACCTGGCCAGCGCCAGACATTACTTGACATTGTAATTATTATTTTTTTGCTTAGCTTTTTTACCCACCATGACTACAATAAAAGCCCATGTGTTATACATGCAATACAATTGCTGAAGCAATTAACACTCAAGTCCCTTCTGCAGACTATATTATTTATATAGTTTATATTTAAATAGCATTTGATGCTTGGACCTGATGGTATCCTCGTATCAGGTCCTTAACCGCTACAATGCTGGGCACAAAGACAAAATAATATCTTAAACATCAAATATCTTTCTGCAGATGAGAGAACAGATGCTTGCAGATGCCTTAGGCCCTTGCCCATAAATATGCAGGCCATACCGCTCAGAGGATACAGGCGAAACAAAACAGCTATTCAGGCGAGCAGTAAACAGCACAATCACAGGATAGCATAGCAAACGCCTTTAGCTTGTCTTACAGGATAGGCCACACTCACACCAGGACGTGGATGAACAAGCATCCTGTATGACAGTCTCCTGTCCTGGGGGCAGTTTTGTTTTAGAGGGGCCTCATGATCAGTGTATGACCACATGACAGGTAAGGGACCTTTGGAGGGGGACCCTTGCGCCTCCCCCCCGCACCCCCACAACCCACCGCTGCCTGCAGTGACTGCTTCGTGAATGGAGGCCAGGACAAAGTGAGCAGTCAGTCAGAGAAGATGGACCTGGATGTGAAAGGCACATGAGGTATGTTGGCGGAACAAAGAACAGATTTTGGACAGCGTGTGGGGACAGGGAACAGGAGCCCGAAGGCCCACGGTGTGCACAGCATGTGGGGACAGGGAACAGGAGCCCGAAGGCCCACGGTGTGCACAGCATGTGGGGACAGGGAACAGGAGCCCGAAGGCCCAC